GAGAGGCCTATCCTGGTTAAAACAGGTGAACAATCCATACTTGACTGTTTGTTACTGATCAGGCCAAAAGTGGTTTGCGTTGCTTAAGAACAGCCCGGCAAAGTATGTAGCAATTTTGTGGCCTGCGAAAAAGTAACCAGCGTGTCGGCACTGCCAATATTACTGTCATTTCGGTATGGTGGCCCTTTACTGAATTCCAAGAGCGATCGTGCAAATTTCTGTTAGTAGATCTATTAAATGGTTTTACAAGAAGCGATTGCGGCTACAACAGAAAGTAAAATTTTCTGTGCAAGGCTTCCCCTAGCCTTTTTGTAAGCACGTGGACATCGAGTAATAGCGATTGCTACTCAAAATCACTAGAATTACCACCTGGATAGGCGAACGAAAAATGGTTTTGCACATCTATGAAGATGCTGGAAAATAATGACCAATGCGAACTACCGCTACTCTTGTGTTGAAGGTCCAGCGCCCACCTGTAAAAAAACCAATCCCTCGACGTTTCCACTCATTCATTTCTATGATAAATTTGTATTGTCACATATCACAAAGTTGAAATCACCAATGAGCACTCCAAAGTTACTCACGAATGAAGAAGCCATCGATTGTCTTGCTTGCTGGCGTGTAATTTGGGTTACTTCTAAGTATCTGCATTTCCGAATGAGTAAATACAGAAGGATATGTGAAAGCGGTGTTACAAACAGAAGGTAAATAATCCAGGGAAGGAGTTTCTGATATACTTGCAAATGAGGTGTTGGTGAGTTTTCATCACTTCAGAGCTAATAGTCCTAGCAGTCATAATGTTTTAACACATAAAAACATGCACCTGTTTGGATCGCCAAGCTCGTACAATGCTTGCTTGAGAAAGAGCCTGATGAAGCAGGGCCACTTTGTCGACCTGTTGTTCATCCTTAGCCTGCTTCTCTCTCTGAGCTTGAAATGAGCAGCAAGGCATATCCTCAATATCTCCAATTTTCGTTTCTTTTTCCATCAGTGTCACAAAAGACCAGCTTCGATAAACAGCAATTAAGCGCCAAGTACAGAGCGACCATACGACCTAAAAATACGGCAGGTTAGAATTTGATGAAATTTTGATGGAATAGTTTAGCATTCTATCACTGTCATCATCGACGGCGGGCGGACGACTGGAAGCTCACATGGCGCTATTTGGAGAATCACCAGCGAAGAAAGCGAAAACACACCTCTTACACGTAAGTTTACCTTTCCGACTAATAATACAATTTTTGTAAACGACTTCACACCCATTTTCCTTTCTTTTTCATCCTTCTTACCTAACCTCACATGTTCCCTCCAACATAGCGAAATG